TCCCTTTGATGCTGGTATTTACATTATTTTGATGTTTACACGATAGCAATGCTGGCATTTACACTATTGTGATGCTGAGGTTTACACCATTGTGACAATTACATAAACACTCTTGTATCAAAGGATGCATCCATCCTATAAGTGATATCCGAATTGGTCCCGATACTGAAGAACATTTTAGATCAGGTATTGTGACAATGGGCCCAATGCATAGGGGCTGATCTATTCAGTCTAACTCTATGCTATGCCATTAGTAGCATCCACAAGTAAACATGTTGTGCGAACGCCCACATTGTTTTCTAAATAGAGCGAGCAAAGGGGTCAGCTATCTGGAACTTTTCCACACTACCTTAGCCTACAAGCTCAACAGCCATCTGCAATATCTGTGCAGAAAAAGGAGGAGATGAAGGAAAAGACGTGAAAAATTTCCATCTAATAGTGCACAGGCAACAAAAATCACGGCAAGGATACTGAACTTAATCGCTTTGGATGGGCAACTGCTGTCGGTTGTTGGGGACATGGGATTCTGACTGCTAATTAGCCACCAGGAGCCTCGGGATGACATGGTGAGCTGAAAATATTTGTCAAATATTTGTCTCTACCTGAACTGCATGGTAGAGTAATTCAGCTTTTTGTCTTGGAATTGGATGTAGATAACTGTAGATATATGTATTGGTGAAAAAGCGGATCGGTGCATCCCTACTTGTAACACTGACATTTACACTATTGTGCCACTGATGTTTACACTATATCTATGCTGACATTGACGTTGTAAAGTTGCAGGCTTGATAAAGGCTGGATGTGTCATGTTGGATCTGCGGCATGTGATAAAATGCTACTGGTTGAAGAATTTCCTTCTGTATTGCCAGGGAAAGTTTGCCATTAAGTATAGTGAGTATTTTCTTTTAAATGAGGCCAAAGCTCAGCCCCTGTTCCCATCCCCCAGTCTCTATAAGGCTGATGTCAGTGTATATTTAACATAAATTGTCGATTTTTACTACAGTTTTACAAACTGGTTACCAATGTGCACTTGATTTTGCACACTTAAAAGATAATCAATTAAAAGTTTGAAGGTCTTTTCATCGTCTGTCTTTTTGGTGCAGCCCTGCTGCTGTGCATACAAAGTCACGTAGTAAAGCATGAAAGGCATAAAGGCAAATATTTCTGTTTACCTCAGGTTGAGGACAACATTAGTTAAATTCTCACCAAAAACCGACACACCACTGTGGTGTTATCACTCTTCATGTTCCTGGCCTCTGCAGTTACTATGTAGATGTATTCAGTCCATGCCTCTTGGTTCTGGCTGATGAGATTTAAAAGGTAGGGTAAATTGACTAAAGAAAGGACACATAGGTGACATCATTTAGTGCACTTCTTTTTAAAATCAATGCAGAATGATGCACATACCGTAGGTCACCCTCCATTGAGACTACTTAGACAGCTGGCACAATGACAAGAAGAAAAACACCTCAGTGTCAAGTGTGGGCTCACTATTCTCTCCTTTAGCACAGAGTGCACAGAGTCAGAGGTATGTGCCCATTTGTTTCAATTATTCTAATCATGCTCATTGTTTTTGGAGAGCGTTTGATCAGGTGGAATGGCCATGAGCTGATTTGCAGGCAACATTCAGTACACTGTCTTTCAGTACAGTGTGAAATACTGTTTTGTATATTGTATTGACTTTTATCTCACTGAGGAAGGTTAGTGACAAGTGTGCCTCTGCACTTTGAGGCATAAATTCGTCAATGAAAATGCATTGTTTCCTTCCTCTCATGTTAGCCTGATGCCAACTTCTTAAAAGCCTTGCTGAAAAGACAAGACAGACAGTAGGAATGTGTCTTTTTCTGCTTTTTCTATCTACACTGTCTGCAGTCCTTTGTACGTCAGAGTCTCCATGACAGCAAAGAGCTCTGAAGCTATGGATTAATAACACTGAGGAAGAAACTGCCCTGGATCAGAGGGAAGATAAGTTAATAGGTGTTTATGATGACAGCTTGTCAACAGGTTTAACTACTGTCAAAGCTGAAAGGAGACAGCAGTCAGTTAGTCAGTTTAGTTAGTTTATTTACAGAGGCGTTTAATCAATCAATCAATCAATCAATCCAATTTTATTTGTATAGCGCCAATTCACAACAGTCGTCATCCCAAGACGCTTTTCAAAGAAAAAGAGCAGGTCTAGACCACAGTCATGTTTGATGAATTATCAAGACCCAACCTAAGATGGGATTTGGCCCATCTCATCTAACATGAGTAACAGTGGGAAAGAAAAACTTCCTTTTAACAGGCAGAAACCTTGAGCAGGACCAGACAAATGCCAGACAGTTGAGACGAGACAGCAGCAACAGCTCATGTAATGATGAAACAAAATGAATTCAGCTTTCTGGGTTAGGATATGAGTAATTATGGACTATGTTAAATTAATTTAAGGTGATTAAAGTTGGCAGGTTCAATGGCAGTTTACTCTAGTTTTAATTTATCGATGTCAGTTAGGCTGACGTACATGTCTGCAGCAATGGTCCAGAGGAGCCTAAGAGATGGAGGAGCTCCGGGCCTGAGGTGGACAATCAAGGACGATGCAGCTGGGGTCAGGCAGTTTCACAACAGATTGTCTGCAGCATTAGTCCAGAGGAAGCTAAGAGACGCAGAGACACTCAGAGAGACAGAAATCTGGTTAGTGACTTATATGGGACATAAAGATCTGAAGGAGAGATAGAGAAAGACAGGAGCTCAGTGTGCCAGATAACCCCGGCAGTCTAAACCTATAGCAGCATAACTAAGAGCTGGTTCAAATCAGCCCCAACTATAAGTTTTATCAAAGAGGAACATTTTAAGTCTACTCTTAAAAGTTGAGAGGGTGTCTGCCCCCCAAACCTTGAGCGGTAAATGATTCCAGAGGAGAGGTGCCTGATAGCTGACATTTGGTACAACAAGCAGACCTGCCATATGTCATAAGGAGGATTTACAGGCTGTATGTTAGTCGTTCCTCATATCCTAGACTCAGTTCTCTTGCACAGTAAACTTTTAACCCTGACTCCTTATGACTATGCAGAATTTTATAATTTTTTTAATTAATTTATTTTATTAATGAAACTTAAAGTTTACACAATGTGTTATGTTCCTTATATTAGCTCAGGAGACTGGCTGCCACTCTAATTTTTCCCTTCAAAATGTCAGACAGGCTCTCCACACAGTGAAAACTCATACAAATTCAGCCACCAAATCTTATTTTTCCATTTCAGTGGCCCTAATATACTCTGTTATTTACAGCATAGCAGATGTTGAGGTGCAGTCCCAGTTTAGTCTTATAAATGGTTTCTTTATTGCTGTGTGACAGCATGCGAGACCCATGAATATTCAGTTGCATGACCAAAGTGATAATGATATAATCATATTCAATATGGAGGACTGAAGTGTGCACTTTGTTGCCAGTTTGTATAGAAAGGTTGCCTGTGTCTTTAAAATACAAGTGACTTTATTAATTTCCAGTGGTGGTTAGAATTATTTATAAATATTTTTAGATAACTTTTGTTAAACAGTAATTTGTTACATTTCCTGTAAATTGTACTGCAGTAATGTAACAAGCTATTTTGTGTGAACCAAAGTAACACTTTATCAGGTACTTTCAAAAAAAAGAAAACTTGTTTCACTCGTTACTAACATTGTCCAGACAAAACAGTATGGAGAGAACATTGTCTCCTGCAGGTCTTTGCTGACTGATAAGGAGCAGCTCTCTCACTGTCTATTACAGCCTGTTTGTGGTGTCCAAAAGTTCATCCCAAATTTGCAGATCGTCCCAGGTAGTTATGCAGCCAACAGTAGAGCAGTTAGTGTGGCCCCAACCTTTAACACTGCAGCAAAACCACACTGTTATAGGAGGAAAAAGAGTGCTGCTGGAGTGGTGGTGTTTTTGCACACATATCTCCTGTCAATCACTCCTGTCATGACATTATTCAATTTCCCTTTAGGTGTCACTAAAATAGGGATGGTATCCGAATCAGTCCCGATACTGAAGAAAATTCTAGATCGGGTATCAGGCCCGATGCATGGGGGCCGATCTATTCAGTCAAACTCTATGCCATGCACCGTGAGTAGCATAAACATGTTGAGCAGATGCCCACATTGTTTTCAAAATAGAGCAAGCAAAGGGTCAGCTATCTGGAACTTTTTCACACTACCCCCTGCCTACAAGCACAATGGCCATCTGCAATATCTGCACAGTAAACGTTCTAAGGGGGTGGTAAAACTTCTAGTTTTAACACAAATAATTTAATCAAGCACCTACAGAGATTTCACGCCAAAGAGCATGCTCAATTCACCAAACTGAGTAAACAAAAGTGAGGCAGTATGAAGCAGCAAATTTTGAAGGAGATGAAGGAAAGACACAAAAATTTCCACCAAATAGTGTGCATGCAACAAAAATTAACAGAGAGAATACTGAACTTCATTGTTAAGGATGGGCAATCGCTGTCGGTGACTGCTAATTAGCCACCTGGAGCCTTGGTAAGACATGGTGAGCCGCAACTATTTGTCAGAGACAGCTCTACCTGAACTGCATGGTAGAGTGTGCAGACTCATATTATAGAAGATAAAAGACAGATATCTGGAGCTCTGACGTTTCCCCCGTGTCAATTTTAACAGCACACTGGCAGTGGTGGACAGTAACGGAGTAAATTTACTTGAGTACTGTACTTAAGTACAGATTCTGAGGATTGGTACTTTACTCAAATACCACAATTCTTTGATACTTATTACTCTTACTCGAATACATTTCCAAGGTAAAGAATTTTACTCTTACTTGAGTAAATTGCTGAGAAGCCTCATGAGTACTCATTACTTTTAGGTTTGCTGTTTTTTTTTTCTTTCCCTAAAATGCAATTGGCCACACGCAGTGTTCGTCAAAGAAGAAAACCTATCACAGTACACGTTCTCCACTGGGATGTACGTAAAAGTGGAAACACGCACTCTCTTGTTTATCAGCTCAAAACAAGACCGCTGTGGCAATGGCGGCGGCAGGAGAAGAACGCTATGAATCCTCAGGCTCAGAGTCTGAACATGATGAGCCGGAGTTGAACGAGGCAGAGGAACGTGAAGAAAACCCATGGCCTTATCTGAAGGCTATGTTCGAGTTTACAGGAGTAAATAAGAAAAACGTGGACACAGACAAGGAAAAGTACAATGTGTGTGTGTGTGTGTGTGTGTGTGTGTGTGTGTGTGTGTGTGTGTGTGTATGGCGGGGGGGGGGGGGGTTGTTTAATAAAATGTGAAAATGACATCATTGTCCTCTTTGATGATCCCATTCATTTTATTTCCATTTTTATAGATGTTTGTGCAGGCTTGGTACTGTATAACATAATGGTTCTACAGGCAAGTAGATCAGTGCAGGTGGTTTCAAAGAGTTAATTCTCTGAAACAAGAGTTACAAGGTACTATAAATAAAATTGTAAAATGACAGTAATTCATGTGAAATAATAGGAATTTACTCTTACTTTTACTTTTGAATACTTAAGTACATTTAAAAGCAAGTACTTTTTTAGTCTTACTCGAGTAACGTATTGACTGGGCTACTCTTACTTGTAGCGGAGTAAATTTTGACCAGGAGTATTTGTACTCTCACTCAAGTACTGGGGTCAAGTACTCTGTCCATCTCTGCACACTGGCTGGATGACAGTCATGTGCCACACAGTGCTATGCTAAATGCTAAAAACTTCTGTGGGTCACACACCAGCGATGCTATTACAGCGACCCTAAAGGAAATGTTTGACAAGTGTCAAATTCCATTGAGTAAAGTCCATGTGATTCTGAAGGGACAGTGCCAGCAACATCTGAAAGGTGATGGACAGTCTGAATGTGCGTAGCTTAGGCTGCGTTGCACATACAATGCAACTTGTTGTCAGTGAGGGACTTTTATCACAGCGCGCTGCAAGTGATGCCATTGCAAGAGGGAGACAGATTGTTGCACACTTTATGCATTCCTCACTAGGCTATTCACGGTTGCAAGATATACAGCTCGGGTTGAACATGCAAATAAAACACCTGCAGCACAATGTCAAAACCAGGTGGAATAGCACCTACTACATGATACAAAGTCAGGTGGAACAGAAGCGAGCACTGTTTTCTTATACTGCTGACCATGAGCTGCCCACAACACTCAAGGCAAATCAGATCCTTCCTAGACGAGAAGCGAGACAGACTCACAGCCGAGAAAGCAGAAATGCTTGCATTTAAATGCATTTTCAGCTCCTTTTGTTATTTAATATTTATTTTGTTTTATTTTACATTAGATTTTAAATCCTTAACTGCACCGATTGAACAATTTAAAGAGGTTTTGTGCCTGTTTAGTTTTACATGCTGTTTGACCAAGGTAGTCAAACTATTGTTTGTTTGTTTTTTTTTGTTTTGATTTTTTTTTTCAGTTTTAGCTCTTTTATAGCTTTACAGTTGGTTTTATATTCCTCATTGCATTGACTGAACAAGTTACACTTATTTTTTACATGTTGTTTGACCAAGCCAGAGAAGCTTAAGGCTTAAATTCAGAGGCTTTATCATGGATTCTTAATTTCTATTTGCACTAAACCATCATAAAGAGCTGATTGCTTTTTATGTTGAATGTCTATCAACCAAGCTAGTGAAGCCATTGTTTACTTATAGACTTAAAAACAGGCAACTGGACTGTGTAGAGTTGAGAAGACGTTTCGCCTCTTATCCAGGAAGCTTCTTCAGTTCTAAAATTGCTAGTGTGAGGAGCAGATATTTATCTTACTGGAGAAGGGGACAGACAACGACTGGGAGGAGTTGGAAAGAATGGGTCGTAGAAACCCATCTCAGGGGCTGCGTCTGAATTGCCTGCTCACATACTACATACTACTGCTACATACTACTGCTAGATCCTACTCCTACATACTAAACACGTTGGCCCAATTTGGACAAACTAGACAAGTGGTGGGGAAAGACGACCCCGCAGGCAGAGAGTAGGTACTGCGCCCGTGCAGACAGTGGTAACAGAAGCCCCCCATCTGGTGGCCTGGCTGTAGTACTGCAGCGAGTACTGTACAATGATCGGTGCACACCCGTGACTTATTAGGCATCATCACCAGAAGGCACCTGTTACTCATTAACAATGAGTGGAAATATAGTAGTGCCATCACGGAGGTGGCACACCTTCAGAGAAAAGCCAGCATGCCTGCAACCAGATTGATGCTGCTCCACATAGAAAATGCAAGGCGGCGGCGAGCTTGCATTATCTATGTGGAGATTCTTGGAGTCATTGCCACAGGTAAGCCATGACATGAAGTGCTTGAACTAGAAGCTCTGTCATGTATTTCTTGTTACTAGTCTTTTCTGGTGTTTGTCCAGACACCGACAAAAGCAACTCTGTTCTACACATGACATTATGTGGTTTCTTTGATTTTTCAGCATGGCCCATGTGGGCCATACACTCAGCTCAACAGCACTGTGCCCATCATTCGTCAGTTTTTGGATGACACCGTTGACCTGCGCCCCAACCTTTGCCTCTCTCGTCGCTCGCGTGCTGCCCTTACTGCTGCCATCTACCTCAGTGTGACCCGAGGCTGGCCAAAGGACATAGAGGTGCTGCTGTTTGTTTTTTTGCTGGCCCATGCAGTGTCCTACAGGGTGGTGGCTGCTGCTGAAGTCCACTGTGCACAATATTGCGCACAGGGTGACCAAGGCTGTCGTGGGCATCCTGGGCCGCACCATCCGCCTCCCCAACCCTGACCAGCTGGAGGACATCGCTGCTGGCTTCAGCCGCCTCGGGAGAAGTCCAGCTCTGCTTACAGTGGTCGGGGCAATTGATGGCTGCCATGTCCGCATCAAGCCACCTGCAGCACATCAGCTGGACTTTTTAAACCATAAGCTGTTCCATTCCGTCCAGCTCTAGGCCATCTATGACCACCAGTGGAGGTTTATTGACTTGTTTGTTGGCTTCCCCGGCTCCGTCCATGATGCCCATGTCCTGTGGAACAGCCCGGAGGGCTGTTGCATCCTGGGGGATGGAGGCTACTCCTGTTTGGGTGCCCCCATCTGCCTCCTGACGCCTTACAGGGAACCTGTGGCCAACCCTGTGCAGGCCCGGTTCAACACCATCCACGGCAAGGCACGGAACATTGTCAAGCGGACCTTCGGAATGGTGAAGGCTCGTTGGCGGTCCATCTTCCTCAGGGCCCTTGAGGTGAAGCCAGCCTTTGCATCGGAGGTGGTCATCTGTTAACTGTGACCTCTTTGAGGCCGAGCCTCCCCCTGAGGAAGATGGACCGCCTCCCTGATCTGAGGCGGCGTCAGGGGAAAACCTGCGGGACCGACTGGCTGCAGCAGTGTCTGTCCCAGAGGTTGCCGTTGCTGTCCTCCAGGACCACGATTATTGTTGATTGTTGTTTTGTTTTGTTGTTGCTGTTACCTCTTTGTCCTTTGGCCAGTCTCGGGTCCACTTTGTTGTCAATGGCAGCAGTGAGAGCAGCAAAAGAATGATGTTAGAGGCGAAGGTTGGGGTGCAGGTTAACTATTTCATTCAGTAACTGCAGAATGCTGGGCACAGTGCTGTTGACACTTTCTTTTGGTATATTTGTTTCCTTTAAATGTGTGGCCTGATATAGGGCAATTACTTATGTTGCGTTTCGGTTCTCTATGATTCATTTCTGTTCTGTATGATTAAATATTTTTTGGGGAAAAATGCTCCTGACACTGGTGTGGTTCTTGATGTCCTGAAACATGAAATACACTGAGAGAAGTCCATCTGCTTAGGTCAGATCTGCTAATCACCTCCAACTACCTTTATAACACAGAGATACAGTTGACACATCACATTGCTTGGACCAAACCATTTTATTCCAGAGAAGTTTTGCCATAGAATGATGCTGTGTGTGTCACCTTTCCTAACAGCATATATCACCCTGACTAGTTTCACTGATTGTTGACTCACCTGAGTCACTAACAACACACTAACAAATGTTGACAACCCTCCCACGGCTTGGAGCCAGTAGGCTTCAAACTCCTTTCTTTAGTTATTATGACTCACAGAGGTTAACTACTCTCCTGTCCCCACCAGCATTTAGAACTGAAGAAGCTTCTTGGATGAGAGGCGAATCGTCTTCAGGAAAACTCCAAGTGGAGATGCACTCAAGAACCTGTAGCCATTTCTCGACAAGGTTCAACAGTGCTTCGCAGACACACACACAGTCATAGTGCCATAACACAAACAAAGGCATTTAAGAACAAAAAACCATAACATTTAAAATGTTAGGCCCCCTACTCGAACATAAAGCAATCGCCTAAATTAAACATACACAAACTGAAATCCTCAAACACAAAACTCGTACTGCCTCCTGACCAGCAGGTCCAAAATGTTTAAAAAGCGCTCCTCCCGAGCCTCCCTGTCCCTTCTGTCCTCCCTCTCCTGTCTTTCCCTCTCTCTTCTTTCTTTCCTTTGGTCCCTTTCCCTCTCTCTTCTTTCTTCCCTTTCCTCCCTTTCCCTGTCTCTTCTCTCCTCTCTGTCCATCCACTCCCTCCACCTCCTCTCCTCCCTGGCTTCAGCCTCCCTCTCCTGCTCCTCCAATCTGGCCTCCATCTCCTGCCACATGTCTTCCAACGCTGGCCTCCTCCTCCTCCTCCCCCTCCTAGGGGGAGAGCTGCCCTGGCTCCGAGGGTTGGCGGGTGGTGAGGTGGAGCGTGGAGCAGCGGTGGAGGTGGAAGCCTCTGTGGGCGTGGAGGGCAGTGTGGTGGAGCTGGAGGGCTGTGTGGTGGAGCTGGAGGGTGATGGGGAGCTGCAGGGTGTTTCTGCAGGCATCACCGTGGCTGAGGGTGATCAATCAATCAATCAATCAAATTTTATTGATATAGCACCAATTCACAACAGTCGTCATCTCAAGACGCTTTTCAAGGAACAAGAGCAGGTCTGGACCACGCTCATTGTTTGATGATCAAGAACCAACCTAAGATGGGTTTTGGCCCATCTCAACTAACATGAGTTACAGTGGCAAGGAAAAACTTCCTTTTAACAGGCAGAAACCTTGGGCAGGACCAGCCTCATGCTAGACAGCCACCATGCCGCTGCTGGGTTGGGGAGGAATGTAGAGAGAAGAGGGGAGAGGGGGAGAGGACAGGGGGAGGGAGAGAGAGAACAAGATAGGGGAAAGGCGAGAGAGAATGAGTACGGAGAGGGAGGGGGAGGGAGAGAGAGTAGGGAACGAGGGTGAGAGAGAGACAGGGGGCAGCAGAAACAACAGCAACAACAACAACAGCTCATGTAATGGTGAAACAAAAAGAAGTTCAGTTTACAGGGTTAGGATATGAGTGATAATGGACAATGTTGAATTAATTGAGTGTGATTACAGTTAGCAGGCTTAATCGTAGTCAGTTCTATTTTGTATTATTAATGTCAATAATGACAGTGAGGCTGATGTTCATGTCTGCAGTAACAGTAACAGCAACAGTCCAGAAGAATCCAAGAGAAGAAGGAGCTCAGGGCCCAGGGTGGATGCAGCTGGGGTCAGGCAGTTCCGCAGCAGACCGTTTGCAGCATCAGTCCAGTGGCAGCTAAAAGACTCAGAGACACTCAGAGAGACAGAAAACTGGTCAGTGACTTATATGGGACATAAAGATCTAAAGAGGAGATAGAGACAGACTCTAGCTCAGTGTGCCAGATAGCCCCGGCAGTCTAGGCCTATAGCAGCATAACTAAGAGCTGGTTCAAATCAGCCCTGACTATAGGCTTTATCAAAGAGGAACGTTTTAAGTCTACTCTTCAAAGTTGAGAGTGTGTCTGCCCCCCGAACCTCGAGCGGTAAATGATTCCAGAGGAGAGGTGCCTGGTAGCTGAAAGCTCTTCCTCCAATACTACTTTTAGAGACATTTGGTACAACGAGCAGACCTGCAGACTGTGAGCGTAACGGTCTAGATGGAAAGTACGGTATAACTAGCTCGTCGAGATATGATGGAGCCTGGCCATTAAGCGCTTTATATGTCACAAGGAGGATTTTAAACTCAATTCTATATTTAATAGGGAGCCAGTGAAGAGAGGCTAAAACAGGAGAGATGTGCTCCCTTCTTCTAGTTCTAGTCAATACCCGAGCTGCTGCATTTTGGACCAGCTGAAGAGTCCTTAATGACTTACTAGAGCAGCCTGATAGGAGAGAATTACAGTAATCCAGCCTAGAGGTAACAAAGGCATGGACTAGTTTTTCTGCATCGCTCTGAGACAATATGCGTCTAATTTTTGAGATATTGCGCAGGTGGAAAAAGGCTGTCCTGGAAATTTGTTGAATGTGGTAGCTAAAAGATAAATCCTGATCAAATAAAACTCCTAGATTTCGCACAGTGGGGCTGGATGCCAGGCTGATACCATCAAATGTAGCTAAATTACTAGAGAATGCCTCTCTAAGGTGTTTAGGACCGAGGACCAGAACTTCAGTTTTGTCTGAGTTGAGCATTAGAAAGTTATTGGTCATCCAGGATTTTATATCTTTGAGGCAGGTTTCTAACCTGGCAACCTGGCCTGCTTCCTCTGGCTTTATGGATAGGTATAGCTGGGTGTCATCTGCATAACAGTGGAAATTAATCGAGTACTTCCTCATAATTTTACCCAGCGGAATCATGTACAGGGTGAAGAGGATCGGTCCGAGCACTGACCCTTGCGGCACTCCGTAGCGGACCTTGGTGTGTGCAGAGGATTCATTATTAACATGGACAAACTGGGATCTATCTGTTAGGTACGATTTAAACCAGGAGAGAGCTGATCCTGCTATGCCTATAGATTGTTCCAGTCTCTGAAGCAGGATGGAGTGGTCAATTGTGTCAAATGCAGCACTAAGATCTAACAGGACTAGAACAGAGAGAAAACCATTGTCCGAGGCCATGAGTAGGTCATTTGACACCTTTAGCAGAGCAGTCTCTGTGCTGTGATGGGTTCTAAACCCAGACTGGAAATCCTCCAATAAACCGTTGTTATGGAGAAAATCACAGAGTTGATTGACAGAAATAAAAGAAATAAAAGGAAGGTTGGATATTGGTCTATAGTTAGCTAGGGAGCTTGAGTCCAGAGTAGGTTTTTTAAGGAGAGGCTTAATCAATGCAGTCTTGAAAGACTGGGGAACATATCCTGTTAATAAAGACGTGTTAATCAATTTGAGCAGGGACGTACTAATCAAAGGAAGAGTTTCCTTCAGCAATTTAGATGGAATTGGGTCTATGAGACACGTCGATGGTTTGGCTGCTCGCACCACTGACTTTAACTCAGGAAGGTCAATAGGTGCAAAGTTACTAAGGTGCACCAGAGGCCTTAGGGGCTCCTCAACATTTTTAGGGTTATCTGAGAGAGAGACACCTGATGAAGTCAATAGGTTACTAATTTTACCTCTTATTTTTACGATTTTATCATTGAAGAAGCTCAGGAAGTCGTCGCTGCTAAGGGCTAAAGGGATATATGGTTCAGTGGTGCTCTGACAGTCCTTCAGCCTGGCTACAGTGCTGAAGAGATATCTGGGGTTATTCTTATTTTCCTCAATAAGAGACGAGTAGTAGGTTGTCCGAGCACATCGTAGGGCTTTCTTATATTTATCGAGACATTCCTGCCAGAGAAAACGAGCTTCAGCTGTTTTGGAGGAGCGCCAAATCCTTTCACATTTTCTTAATAACTGTTTCAGCTCACGGGTTTCAGCATTATACCACGGGGCTAGCCTCTCGCGTGTAAGAGTTTTCTGTCGAAGAGGAGCAACTGAGTCTAGAATTGATCGCAGTGTGCCTGAGGTATCATCAACGAACTGGTCGAGTTGCAAGGGACTGATGTTTAAATATGAGCTATTAGTGAAGTTCTTCTCAACCACAGAATTTAGAGCAGACGGAATTACCTCCTTGAACTTAGTAACAGCATTTTCAGACAACCTTCTAGTTAGCACGGCTTTGTTATGAGGAGAGTAACCTGAAAGCACAAATGAGCTGACTAACAGGGCTTCAGCTTCGAGGCCATAAGCCAGGACGAGATCGAGAGTGTGGTTAAAGCAGTGCGTAGGTCTATGTACACACTGTGTAAACCCAATTGAATCTAGCAAGGACAGAAAAGAAATGCTTAGGCTATCATTTTCCACATCTATGTGAATATTAAAGTCACCGACGACGATGACTTTGTCTGCGAGAAGGACTAATTCGGATAGGAACTCTGAGAACTCTGACAAAAACTCAGAGTATGGGCTCGGAGGGCGATAAACTATAGCAAATACC